ATATCATAAACTTCACTTGTTGTCTTCTTATCAGACGTATTTTTCTATTTGAAAATTCAACATACCAAACTAATGTGTGGTGTGGTTTTGTATTATGAATACGCATAACTATAGAGTAAACGTTCATACAAGACACATATGCATGATTTAATTTTTCGAATCGAGTTGGTATACTTAACATAAAAAGTGACAGGTATTTGAATACGTATGTACGCAAACAGAACATTATCATCTGTATCAAATAATAAAAGATTTAAATTATAAAACTTACCACATGTTCTGTACCAGTGTGAACAGAATTAAAAGCAGTTTAAATACGATATAAAATGGATGAACTTACACCTCACATCACCTAATTTTAAAGGAGGAAGTATGGTGATATATATATATATATATATATATATACATATACATACAGAGAGAGCTTTGTGCATATATTTTCACAATACAGCGAATTATTATAATAGGGCGCAGCGCATATATATATAAAAAAAGGGTTAACAATGCTAAAAGAAATCTATTGAATTATCTACATGTTTCACCTCAGCTTTTCAAGACATACATTAACAATGACACGAAGGCATTGAAGATTGATAATACAGTGATATAATAATAATGAAGTATATGTATATATTATAATATTGTAATTATTTTGAAATGTTTAATTTGGGTTTTATTGTGTCAAACATTATTGCTCTTTAAATCTCATTTTAGAATGAAAATGTATAATATAATATATACTATTCAAAAAAAATAGGGGATATTTGATTTTGGGGGCATAATATACTATTCAAAAAAAGTAGGGGATATTTGATTTTGGGGGCATAATACTAAAATATGCAAATAACTACGAAAAAAGTCACTATAGAACCTAACAGAAGAAACATTTCCAGTTACATGTGACGCCCAAACGCACCAATAGCTACCGCATGGAATGCAGGTGATGCTTGGGATCATCATGGGGGTCCAACCCAAGATTTGCACGACTCTGACTTTGAATGTTACAGTCATTGTGGCATTGAATTCCAGGGTGGAAACATCAGTTTAATTGTTTTAGTGACCAGAAAACAAATTTTGATATGCGTCGGCTTACCCCAAATGAAAGGTTACGTGCCCTTGGCATGCTACAGATCGGCACAACACAGGCGGTTGTGGCGCGGACGATGAATGTTTCTCAGTCTGTCATAAGCAGGCTATGGTCCAGATACCGTGATACACAATCTGTACAGGACAGACCACGCTCAGGTCGACCAAGGGCGACAACTCAAGCCCAGGATCGATTTATCCGTACCTTGGCCTTGAGAAATCGTGTCATCACAGCAAATCAGATCAGCGCTCTTCTTCAAACAGACACTGGTGTGAGAGTGAGTGGCCAGACGATTCGGAATCGTTTGCATAGGGGTCACCTTCGCGCCCGACGTCCTCGCGTGATCCCTTGTTTGAGAGATCATCACATTCAGGCAAGACGTCGTTGGTGTAGGGATCGTCAACACTGGGATAATCGACGCTGGAGCAATGTGATGTTGATTTTTTGGACAGACATAGGAGGGTGTGGCGTCGTCGAAACGAGCGCTTCCAAGACGTTAACGTCATCAGACATGATCGATTTGGGGGTGGTTCTGTTATGGTGTGGGGAGGCATCACTGTTGCTGGAAGAACGGCTTTACATGTTGTTGCAGGGCGTGTTACAGGCCAGTACTACCGGGACAACATCTTGGCAGTCCATGTTGTGCCGTTCGCACGACGTCATGGCCGCCGTTTCATTTTCCAGGATGACAACGCAAGATGTCACAGGGCCAGGATCGTTACAGGTTACCTCCAACAACAGAACATCACCACATTACCTTGGCCAGCACTGAGTCCCGACCTCTCCCCCATCGAGCATGTCTGGGACATGCTTGGACAGAGGTTACGTCAACGTCAACAACGTCCTGCCAATGTCCAAGAACTTGCTGCTGCGTTGCAACAGGAATGGGACAATCTGGACCAAAATGACCTTAGACGTCTCATTAGGAGTATGCCACGTCGGATCAATGCTTGTTTGGCAAACAGAGGAGGATTTACCCGTTACTGACTTGGTTGTGATGCTGTGGTAACTTTGCTGTTTGACCCCGGGTATCATTTTACCCTTATAATGGTCAGTCTGTGCCTTACTTAGTCTAACGATCCTTTGGAATAAATCGATGAATGTGAACTTCATTTCATTTTGTCATTTGTTTCTTCGTCAGTTTCATTAGGTGACTTTAATAACACTTAAAAATCAAATATCCCCTACTTTTTTTGAATAGTATATATACTATTCAAAAAAAGTAGGGGATATTTGATTTTGGGGGCATAATACTAAAATATGCAAATGACTACGAAAAAAGTCACTATAGAACCTAACAGAAGAAACATTTCCAGTTACATGTGACGCCCAAACGCACCAATAGCTACCGCATGGAATGCAGGTGATGCTTGGGATCATCATGGGGGTCCAACCCAAGATTTGCACGACTCTGACTTTGAATGTTACAGTCATTGTGGCATTGAATTCCAGGGTGGAAACATCAGTTTAATTGTTTTAGTGACCAGAAAACAAATTTTGATATGCGTCGGCTTACCCAAAATGAAAGGTTACGTGCCCTTGGCATGCTACAGATCAGCACAACAAAGGCGGTTGTGGCGCGGACGATGAATGTTTCTCAGTCTGTCATAAGCAGGCTATGGTCCAGATACCGTGATACACAATCTGTACAGGACAGACCACGCTCAGGTCGACCAAGGGCGACAACTCAAGCCCAGGATCGATTTATCCGTACCTTGGCCTTGAGAAATCGTGTCATCATAGCAAATCAGATCAGCGCTCGTCTTCAAACAGACACTGGTGTGAGAGTGAGTGGCCAGACGATTCGGAATCGACTGCATAGGGGTCACCTTCGCGCCCGACGTCCTCGCGTGATCCCTTGTTTGAGAGATCATCACATTCAGGCAAGACGTCGTTGGTGTAGGGATCGTCAACACTGGGATAATCGACGCTGGAGCAATGTGATGTTTTCAGATGAGTCAAGGTTCACTGTTGATTTTTTGGACAGACGTAGGAGGGTGTGGCGTCGTCGAAACGAGCGCTTCCAAGACGTTAACGTCATCAGACATGATCGATTTGGGGGTGGTTCTGTTATGGTGTGGGGAGGCATCACTGTTGCTGGAAGAACGGCTTTACATGTTGTTGCAGGGCGTGTTACAGGCCAGTACTACCGGGACAACATCTTGGCAGTCCATGTTGTGCCGTTCGCACGACGTCATGGCCGCCGTTTCATCTTCCAGGATGACAACGCAAGATGTCACAGGGCCAGGATCGTTACAGGTTACCTCCAACAACAGAACATCACCACATTACCTTGGCCAGCACTGAGTCCCGACCTCTCCCCCATCGAGCATGTCTGGGACATGCTTGGACAGAGGTTACGTCAACGTCAACAACGTCCTGTCAATGTCCAAGAACTTGCTGCTGCGTTGCAACAGGAATGGGACAATCTGGACCAAAATGACCTTAGACGTCTCATTAGGAGTATGCCACGTCGGATCAATGCTTGGTTGGCAAACAGAGGAGGATTTACCCGTTACTGACTTGGTTGTGATGCTGTGGTAACTTTGCTGTTTGACCCCGGGTATCATTTTACCCTTATAATGGTCAGTCTGTGCCTTACTTAGTCTAACGATCATTTGGAATAAATCGATGAATGTGAACTTCATTTCATTTTGTCATTTGTTTCTTCGTCAGTTTCATTAGGTGACTTTAATAACACTTAAAAATCAAATATCCCCTACTTTTTTTGAATAGTATATTATAACAATTACTACTTACCTAAACTAAAATATAATATAAATGATGATATTATTATAACAGCTGACAACTGATTCATTTTTAACCACATTCTTCAGGGCGGAGAAAATATATGATGCAACGCACATGCTCTAACCATTCGGCCATCCAACCCAGCTCAATCCATTGTGTATAGATCAAATAAATTCTATTGCTTACCAGGAAGTTATAAATTGCTTAAAGTCTATGTGACACATCATCCTATTTACGTCTTTACCCATATGACAACATGTCCGACTTTTTATAGTTTGTGAATAATGAAATACGATATATAACGACAGTTCATATCGTAAATTTCACCTGTTGTCTTCTTATAAGACGTATTTTTCTATTTGAAAATTCAACATACCAAACTAATGTATGATGCGGTTTTGTATTATGAATACACATAACTACACAGTAAACGTTCATACAAGACACTTATGCATTATTTAATTTTTCGAATCGAGTTGGTATACTTAACATAGAAAGTGACAGGAATTAGAATACGTATGTACGCAAACAGAACATATCCATCATCTGTATCAAATAAGAATAGTTTTAAATTATACAACTTACCATATGTTCTGTACCAGTACCAACAGAATTTAAAGCAGTTGAAATACGATATGAAATGGATGAAAATACACCTCACATCAACTAATTTTAATGGAGGAAGTAAATTACATGCTAGTATGGCGTGGTGATCTATATAAATATGGACCTTTGTGTAGGTATATTCACATCACAGTAATTATAATAGGGTGCAACGCAATAGTTTAAAGATGCTAGAAGAAATTACTATTGTTGAACCGTCTACACATTTCGCCTCAGCTTTTATAAGACATACAATAACAATGACGTGAAGGCATTGAAGATTGATAATACAATGATAATAATAATGATGTATATGTATATATTATATTGTAATTATTTTGAAATGTTTAATTTGGGTTTAAATGTTTCAAAAGTTATTGCTCTTTAAATCTCAAATGAAATTGCACAATATAATATACAAACAATTCCATTTTACAAAGATAAAATAGCATGTCAACAAAGTATTCACCTATAAATATGAAATGACAGATTATTATAAATTTATAAAACATATTATAGAAGAGAGAGAGAGAGAGAGAGAGAGAGAGAGAGAGAGAGAGATATTTAACATCATCCCGACACAAATTAAGTCATTTCGGGAATAACATAGTTAATTTTATTATTTCAATAATTCGCTTGTGCGTAGGGGTTTTTACCAGTGGGAGGAAAGAAAAAAAACCCTAGAAAACCCAGAAGGTCGGACAGGTCACCCTACTCCGTGTCACGTACAAGCGGGAATACGAATCCATGCCACTTGACACAATATCAACAAAGTATTCATCTACCAGTAAACAAATACTGGGTTTTATTAATAATTTTATAAACATACTATAGCACAATATTAACAAACTGTTCATCTATACATGTATAAATATTATTTCTATAAATAATGTGATAAATATAACGTAATGTTAACAACATATTCATTTGTAAATATACAATTATATGTTAAGTGATAAAACATAACATTGCATTAAAAAGACAACGGCATTAAAAAAATAATATAAACTTTGCTAGAACGGGTCTTTCTAGGTACAAATGTGTCACAGGATGGCCGAGGCGTGACCATACATCGACGATACCATTTATCGGCGACTCCAGGAGTGAACAGTTAACATCCGTCAGTAGGTACCCAAAAGGGGACCTGTAAAATTAGTCAACATTTATACATGAAATATTTACTCATACTAACAAAATATACAACGATGAGTAAAATATACGAAACCTGCACATCGGAACCAATACACCAAAATTAATAGCATAACGATTTCACTCACCCAAGTACCCGATGGCAGTATCGAGTCCTCCAATCCAACTGTCATAATCCATCTCCTAAACCTGCCCGATTGTCAGGTTTATATACTACCTGTATGCACGTGCATTGAAGGTAGACAGTTTGGGCGAGCCTTAATATTACAGGTAAATAGTTTGGGCGAGCCACGCGGCAGAGTTTGGGCAACCCATAGTGACACTAATGAAATACGACCGTGACAAAATGTATAAATGCGACCTCTAAACATGCAAACATTTTAATCTGCTAATAAATCAAATGTAGTTGAAAAGTAATTTTGAACGAGAATGAAACTAAAACTGGGCTAAAAACATAACTCAATAACATAACCAAGCGTATATTATAATTCAACTAATTAGAAATACCTTGAATATTTTAAGAATATGGTACATTTAAGGCGTCTTTAGTAAAACTAGATACTATACTCTTCAAAAAAGGAGGGGATATCCAGAAACAATACAAATACTGTGGAAATGCACTGCTGTTGTCATTAGAGGTAGTCAGTGTATGTTAATAACAAGCCAATTGCCTACACATGAACATAAACAGTTCATATGGGTGACTTATCTGACATCCCCATTTCACTCGCAAAGCGATACACTGTCAAAAGTAAAAATGGACGTTCTGATTTTTGTCTTAATAATGAGTAATTGCTCCACCAATCCCCATACATTCAGCAAGTCGTCGTGGCATGCTCCTGATCAACCGTCCAATCCCGATTTGGGGTAATCTGACCCACTCCTCTTGCAGTGCCACGGCCAATTCTTGCAGTGTTGACGGTTGATGTTGACGTTGACGAACACGTCTCCCGATCAAATAAAACGTAACACACTAAGCAAAAATACGCTAAAGAGTAAATCTTATGCAAGAACCGATAGGAAAACAAACATGGATAGGATAAGCCAACAGGCGGCAGTTTTCATCAACCCTTCCTTGAAGTGTTAAATTTGACAATGAACCACTCTCACGTGTATGGCGCTATTGCGTGTCGCACATGCAGATCCGTGGTTCTGTTGGGGCGATAAGTTCTTCATCTGTGAACATACTCTCAAAGCATGTCAAGTGTCCATGACTATTTATCATATCACAACTTGCATAGGTATTTGCATTTCAATATCCCCTTCTTTTTTGAAGAGTATATACATATATCGAAATACATCAATAACTCTATTTCTAAACTTCTAACGAGAAATACTAAAGTAACAACTAAATAATATACAAATGTAATAGCGCTTCTTGGTGGAATGTGGCTCAAAGGAAATTTTAATGCATGACCTAGTATATCATACTTCATACAATTATATCAAATATACATTATTACATCTATTTGATTATGTTAGAATCTATAGATGTATTATCGAATGTGTAATCTAATGTATCATACATATTTCTTATATTCAAAATACATTATAACATCTCTTTGATTCTGTTACAAACTGTAGATGTATTATCTAATGTGTAACCTAATGTATCATACATATTTCTTATTTACAAGATATAGTATTACATCTTTTTGAGTTTGTTAGACTCTATAGATGTATACGTATTTGGCGTATCATCTACTGTGTGATCTAATGTATCATACGTATTTCTCGTGTTGTCTTCTGTATTAAACGACTGGTTTACATAGTCTACATTACGTGTATTAGTTGGAATATTTTGATATCCAGTGGTTAATGAATCGTCTGTTGTAGAACTAGTCGGGTTTAAATCTGTGTTACTGTAAACATAATCAGGTTCAATTTCTTCGTCTTGCTTATTCGATTGGCACCTGAAATATATTCCAACGATAGACTCAATGTATAGTAAAGAAACTTTATATTTAACAATAAAACATAGTTTGGAAGGCAATGATTAAGACCACAAGCAGTCATGTTATGGACTAAACTGATCTTAATATCTATATATAGATCTTTATCATAATGATCGGATGATAATCACACGATTTAATAAATTTTGTTGTAAAGTATACCAAGCAGCAAAAGAAACGTCAGGTTGGTATGTTACTCTGAATAGACGCATTGCATAAAACTTGCCAAATGTTTTCATTGTATATTTGTAACAACATCTCCAGATTTACCTGAGCAATAAGGCTCCTTCCCAAACACAGAATTGAAACTAGGAATTGTTTTCAAAAACGCAACCGGACTTCTAAGATGGCGATGTGTTCTGCATGATTTTCATGTTACTCATACTACACGTGCTGTTCCCCGGGACCAGCCCTATAACATGCACCCCATACCTGGTTGAATCATTCACACAGGCGACACACGCAAGGGAGAACTGTTCTATTCACAGATCAGAGTCGGTATTGCGTATCAACTTAAGATGGCAGGACCTGAATATGGCGTCGACGTGGCCAGCGTTATTCTGACCAATGTGTCATGGAACGAGACTCATGGGGAGGTTCAAGCATAATGGTTTGGGGTGGAACCGGCCTGAACCAGAGAGTGGGTCCTTTGGTGTTCCAAAATCTTGGTCCAATGAGCGGAGGAGGCATCACAGCACCGATTAAGCCCTCAGACCCCACGTCATACCACATTTCGCACGTCATCGAAATAACGTTTTCCAGCATGACAACACCCGTGCCCACACCGCCAGAGTTACTCGGTACTTTCTACGGCAGAACGGTGTCAACGTTATGCAATGGCCAGCCCTTAGTCCGGACTTAAACCCGATTGAACATCGATGAAATTCAGTCGAGACTTAATAACGTCGTACCGAGACCAAACACAGCCGATGGATTGCGCCAGGCTTTTCTGAGAGTGTGGTTCCAGGTGCCAATGGCGTTCATCAATCGTCTGGTCCATTCCATGTACAGACGCTGCGCTGCTGTTATTGACACTCGCGGTGGACACACCAGATACTGATGTACAGACTTTGTACAGACCCTAAACCTTCTCATAATGTCTTGGAATTGTGATGAATTAATCACTAACGTGTCAACATACTGTTCACAAACAAATGCTTTTATCCATTTAGTAAGTCGTTTTCTACAATGATTTGATTAAAATACCTCTCTGATTTTGAAATAGTTCAGAGTTTTATTTTTTGCTGTTTAGTATATTATTAGTTTACGTTTTATAGAGCACAACTTCCACCAATAACTACTGCGCACTTACCCAATAGGGCATTCAAATTAAATAAACAAATTAAATAAATAAAATAAACTATGCATGCGAATATTAATAACAACGTTTGTTAACAACATTTCGCGACAAAGGAGATAAGTCTGTATCGCGGTAGCTAAGTAAACAAATAACAAAATAGGAAGTAGTGTAAACCTGGTCTATTCGTTCACACTTCACCTGTACTTTTGTTTTCTAATAGTTAAAACTCGGAAAAACTCGTATAGTAATAAATCCTTGTTTATATAGCAAGAGTACTAGACCATCCAACCACGATATTGCATCATATAAGTATCTACGTGCCCATCTTCAAACACGAAGGCTTGACCTCGCGTTAACTACGTACATATCAAGGTCTTCACGTAATACCCTGCATATTTCGGCACTAATTTCGATTGGGGATTCACCCAGATTCATCGATAATCGCGAATACCAAGTCTCGCGCTGTCCAGCTAAAATGTCTACCTGTGATAATCAGATGCAAAGTTCAAGGTTCGTTCAATGTCAAGATTCGTTCAATGTCAAGGTTTCCGTGGAGGTCGCTGTGTCAGAATATCTGATTGGACGCCACTGTTCACCTGTCTGTAGATAACGTAGCTATAAGTTCAGGAAATGTAACGTAATCTAGTAACGTTCAGATGTTGTAACACTCGCAGTCGTTGCTTCAGGAACATGCTACGGGCCTAGAACTAAGACCTCTGAATGATGTTCCAGGAAAGACGAACGGTGTCTGTTTCAGTCTCTAGACCGAGGCAGCTGATGGGTATCCATCGTTAACTCTCCCCATCGTGGCGCAGTGGTGTCTGGGGATTCGGGCGGGGTTAAAGGCCCATAGTTGAATGCTCACAGAGTAAACCTAAGGAATAACGCTGTACTGTATGGTCGTCATTTTACGATCCATGCCAGGCATCTTTTGGCTCTCACATCTTTTGGCCGTACATGACACTCAAAGTGTGGTGGAGGCGGATGGAACTATACGATACCTTAAGATGTATAGTCGGCAAAATTAATTAATAATTTGGAATTAAAAAATGCGAATGTTACCTTTTCTTGTAGAAATGATATGACAGGAAGAGAGCTATCGTGCTAAGCATACCGCATAGAAAACCAATTACAACATATACCACAGGACTTAATGGTGCTCTTGTAGAAACAGGTAAACATTCTGTTAAAGAAAATATATAGTGTTATTTCTACAATGCCTAGTATCCAACTGACTGATGTACATAGACAGAGAAATTAAATGAAATGAAATGGAGTTTAACGTTCTACTGTTTTGCTCCGAACTGGGCTAATGAAGACGGGTATACGCCATACAGTGTGCTATGAGGGAAATTTTGCTCGGACAGCGGCACTATGGCCTACTCTTATATCGAATTCCAACTGTCAAGGGATCTTTTACGTGTACGCTAATGTGCACACGGAACCTCGGTTTTTCATTTCATCCGAATGATTAGACAACTGTCCTTTTCAGGCCCTCCGTCCTGCATCACTGACAAGGGGGAACCACACCGGAAAATCTGGGTGAACTTTCTCGGCCAATGCAGGGATCGAACACCCGACCTCCAGGCTAGCGAGCCAGCGTCTTACCCATTTAGCCACCGCGTGACCCCACCCCCCATAAACAGAGAGGGACCGCGTGTATTGGGATATCATAAATATGAAATTATGTATATTTAAAGATACATTATGGGAGGTTCGATAACGAGTTGGCAGTTCTCACTATAATAGTTAAAAACTAGATAATGTAAAGGCAGTTTGCTGAAAATTTCATTCAAATTGATCCACTATGAACCGACAACAAAGGGATAGAAATTTCCGACTAGCCTCGATGATCATCATTACCAAAGTCAGTACGATAAACAGCATAGTCTCGATTATCCATTTAATAGTTAAATCGTGAAGAAAAGTTATGTAGTAAATCGGCTCATAATCCACTCAAGATCGCAGACTAGAGATGCCATCTAGAGTTGATTATGGTCTGGATAGGTTACTTAATGTCTAATTAATAATTAAGATAACATTTCAGGCCTAAAGTAAGACCTGCAACAGACAGATTTAGCTCTTTAATAATGTATGTTTAACGATTAATACAAAACGCCGTCGATTTACAATCTGTAAACACAAGACAAGAATGGACTGTTACTGCATTTATTTTCTCAGTTTGGATTGTCTGTAAATACAAGTGCGGCCTAAATAAGGCATCATGCTATTGTAAACCATCGATATTGTTACCACACATGATTTACATCGGGAAGTCCCTGTCTGCTTCACAATCTTTTCATACAAGACACACATTGGGTCCCGTATGAAAAGCTACTGCAGAAATATTATCACAATAATCGCGTTAAAACAAATTTAAATTTACCTGTTGTACAGTTTAATCCCATTTTACCAGGTGAACATCCATCTATACAATTTCCTGCCATCTGATCACATTTACCATTAGTTGTACCAACTACTGATTTACAGTTAATACTACATAGTTTATTACATGATGGTCCCCATCTTCCATCTTTACATTCAGTACACGCATTGACATCATCTCTATCACAAACAGTACAATCAACATTACAGTTGATATCACATATGTCTCCAGTTTTACCTTTAATACAAGTTATACATTTACCATCATTTCTATCACATCCAGCATCACATCCTATACTACAGTCCACATCACACCCATCACCATATCTTCCTATACGACAGTTAGTACATCTACCAGTACCTCTATCACATCCACCACCACACCCTGTATTGCAGTTTAAATCACAACCATTACCATATCTTCCCAGTATACAATTAGTACATCTTCCATTTCTATCACACGTGACCCTGGTCTGGTCTGTGATTGGTTGACATTCTGTACCACAAGTTAGGTTACAGTATGGACCAACTGTATCAGGTTTACAGTCATTACATCTACCGTCAGATTTAGAACAGTGATTGCTTAAACAACCCTGACTACAGTTCTGTTGACATTTAGTACCATAAAACCCTGTTTTACAATCTCCAGTACAAACACCAGTAGTAACATCACAGCTGCCATTATGGCATGTATTACATGCTTGACATGTAGAACTTGATGTACTGTAGTATCCAGTATTACATTGTGCTAGATGTGTAATACAGATGATATATATTAATATAACACTCCATGAGTAATTTGATATACTTTAGTATCAAGTATAACATTGTGCTAAATCTATAATATTCTCATAACATAGGAATATATTAGGAATATATTCCTAATTACTAACATAGGAATATAATTGTTTTTTCGTATGTTTTATTTATTTATTTATTTTTTCATTTTAAGTAAAAGGTATCGTGCGCCCTTCATAACTCTTTTCGGGGAGGCTGTTCTAGATAGCGTAATCCATCGGATTCAATTCTCGGGACTGTGGCGACCAGTGATCTTTCTTTATAAAGTCTAGCTGGCCCCCTCGATGGATTCGGTTGGAATAGAAAAATTCGAATTGGGTTGATCACATGTGTTATTTTGATTTCAATAGCGAAGTTCTATACTATTATATTTTTGTTAGAAAGAATACATGACCTATAACACTATTCTTTGGGAACTTAAAATAAGCAAATACTGTCCATAAATACACATATTCATGTAATATGAGTGTATATAAAGTGATTTACGAACAATCTTTAAAATGTTTAATGCGATTTCTGATTAATTTGGTTCGGTGACATACCCTGAAGGTCCTTTGCGCCTGCTTAGTCCATTGTTTTACCGTTTGTGAATCGGCCATTTTTAATTACTCCCGCCTTGTCGGGTATGTTATGTTTGGTCATTACAAACGTAGCTCGAAACCATTATGTCCGTAGACTACACGATTTTAAAATGATCACTGTGTCTTAAATCCGAATATTATGGATAATATTAAGTTATAGGTTTATATTTTTGAATGCTAAAGTCACCTTACTAAGTTTAGTTTAATTGTTTACTTAGTGTGGTGACAGTGCAACACAAATTCGGTAATATCTCTTGACATCGTCTATAGCCTTAGTATATTCATTCCCCAAAATATAAAACTAAATTCAAGACAGATAATTGGTAATCTTCTAAACAAGGCAACCTATAAAATTCAATTATATAATCCTAATATATATTTTCGATGGAGATACGGTATCGTCCCACAAAACATGTCAATATTTAACATCTACGGAGATGCAAGCCAAGTCATCTTGAATTCACATGTGCTATCACAATTTGTTTTTATATGCTTTAATAACTATATTTCTAATTAAGCTAGAATATCCAAACTTTGATTATTAGTTGGTTGTCTTGATGGAGTTCAGAGATGAGCATTTTCCACTAAGGGCAAGCAGAGGCAATCAATTTGATTGGTTGATGCTTTTGGAAACGATAACTTCAGTTCTGATTGAGTGCGAGTGACGAATACCTTGACTTACTTCGATAATGAGCATTTTCTATTCAGGGTAAACAGAGCGATAGTCAATTTGATTGGTCAAGACTTAGGAACATAACAACATGGGATTTTAATTGAGGTGTAATGTTTAAACATGGTGTAGATGTTCATTAAGTAAATGTCTTGACTTGGTTCAATGATTACGACTTTCCGTTAAAGCTAAGCAGAGCTAAGAACTTTCATTGGTCGATGCTTTGGGACAAGATAACTTTGATTCTAACTTATGGAGAAGATGAAAGTTAGTGTAGAGTTTTACTACCAGCAACTTCAAAAACTTGATCGAGTTTCTGCCTAGACTAAGCATAGATAATCAGTTTGATTGCTCGATACTTTTTAAAAAGATACATTTGCAAATAATTAACATGTATCATCTATTTATTTTGGGATCGCGATGGTGGACATCAGCTTCTCTGTTGGTTTGTTGTTCCTGATATGATTAAACTACTAAGCCTTCCAAACAAGTGTTTTCTTAAAGAAGCGGAAAAATGCATCATTAATCTTGAAGTAGTATAAACACTATAATTACCAGAAAATATCTGAACTTCACATAAAGTAAGATATTGACTTGAAACAGTGACATATACTGTTCTAGCAGATATATTAGTTGATGATGGTTGATTACATCTATCTATTGTATAAACATCTTGTACCGTTGGTGGTGTATCTTTATAACATGATGTAGCTGATGTAAATCCTGTTTGATCACACTGACCACTAGAACTGATCTTTATCTCAAATCCCTGTAATCTCTCTTTATCTGCAAAATATAAAATTATATTGATTAGTTGTTTGTTACAGAGATTTATCAATTCGATGATATTGACATAAAACTCTCGATTTATTACCCTGCTCCCCATAACTTTCCTTTATCTCAAATCTACGTGACGTCAATGGACCTTATTATCGCCATTCAAAAACTTTTAAAAACTCATCTGTATCAAACAAGTTATATCTGATAGCTAAAGACTTTATGTAGATATGTTTGGTCAAGCACAAATTTTGTGGAGTTTTGGCGGTATTTAAATGGACATGTATTTTATTATATGTTTCTCTTTGTCAGTTGTGCAGGACGGAAGGCCCGACAAGACAAGGGCAGCTGGCTAGTCGTTCGGATTGTACGATAACCCGAGGCCCCATGTACACATTTGCGTGCACGTAAATGAACCCTTGGCAGTTGTAGATTGTTTTGGACTTTATTTGAACTGTAACATTTGGCAAAATGTCAACCAATTCATGACTCGGTTATTTCTGAAAATTTTGCAATTCTTAGATAAAAACACGAATAACGTTTATTTTAAATTTCAATGAAATCCATCCAGTAATGTCCGTCATTTATTAACAACCACGCAAAACACTACCGAAGCGGTCATATAAAATATTTAGGATAAGGGTTTAAGCTCTACTAACATATGGTTCAATTTTATTTCAATAAATCACTTAGCAGTGGGATGGAACCGGAGGAGTCGATAAAACCCACGAGGTAATACTACCGACTCTATTCCTTGTCAAGTACAGCCGGGAAATCGAAATCACGCGAGTTGACTCAATGACAGACCTTAAGATACAACGCGCACGCGCTAACCATTCGGCCTCTCAACCCCTTAAAATATATATAGAGTTCACAAGTGACTAAAATCAGACACAGATATACATCTTACTCGAAAAAGCGGAACGGACTATAGAAGAAAAAGCACTTACTGACATCTCTGTTAAATAGTTTGATGATGTCAATATTATAAATATGTTGTAGATTAACACACCACCATTGAATACCAGTATTGTTTGTATGTGTACAGGCAAAATAGTCCAAACCACTACCAGTATTACCATCTACAGCATTACTAGAATTACTATCATGTCTTGGAGCAATATATGTGGTACTCTGTTCTGTCGGCTTGCCAAGAGCAATGTTTGTACCTTTTAATGCAATATGTAAAACAACATTTGATCAACATACCATTCTAAAACATAAAGCAAATTGCTGTTTTTAATTTAAAAAAGAAATTACTGTAAATATAGTGCGGGACGATTTACCAAAAACTACCACATATTACCTCAATATTGTGATAAACTGGAAGATAATTGATCATATATTGGCTAGATTGTCAGACGCTTGAACTGCCGGGTACTGATACTATAAATATACCGATGATTTACTATCCAGCAACGGAGTCAACAAGTATCCCTTATTTGATTTGTGTGTGCACGCATTTCCAATAAAAAAGATTAATTGAATTTCAATAGCTAACATGATCACATTGTTATAAAAATATCTGAGTTATATTGTAAAAATAGATGTTGCAAAAGACAAAATACAGTTCTAACATACAGACATGTTCATTCAGAGGGCGTTGGTCACGATGAAATGTGTTTTATTAAATTTTAATGTTATTGGCCACTTTGAATGCCTATATAAATGTATACGAAACAGAACAGATAACAGCATACAAATTCAAGTGTAAATGCTAGCATACCACATGAGAGAACGTAATCCTGATTTTGAATGTGTTGTTAATATATGACCTTTTATGTTGTTGGAGCGATCCCCATTACACAAAATTTGAATTCAAATTGCCATCAAATCTTTCTGAAGCTCGCTCGTTATTGTATTTTAATGATTCAGAAATATGGTTATTTTCCATAACAAGCATCCTACCATGCAATATATTTATTTATCTGTGGGACTTAAAATACATGAAATGAAATGGGGTTGAACGTCCTACTGGGTTACTGAAGAAGGGCATACTGATGTTTGCCCTGACCGCGGCGCTACGAACTATTCTTATATCGAAGTCCAACTGACAAGGGCTCTTTTACGTCCACATCAGTTTTTTACACATGACCTTGGTCTTTCGTTCCATCTCTGAGCCACCGTGGCTTTTCTTGTAATTTATCATGGCCATTGACCGCCCTACAACTGGTATAAGTGTCATCGCCGTAGGTTTTCGCACTACGATACAGATGCAAAATGTTTTTAAAAGTTATTTTTCAGTACAATGTTACCTGTACAAACACCACATGACCTCACACAGTTCTCTCTATAAAACTCATCTCTAGGATATACAGTATCACCACATGATTGACAGTTGATGTTGTCTATATCTCTACATTCATCTAATGCTGAAAAAGTACATAAACGGGCGCTACGTTATTATGTATTTGTTTTACCCTTATGAGAAATAAAATAATAATAGATTGATTGCATGTTAGCGGTATTTTACTTTAGACCATATTGTCGCACTAGACAGATAGTAGGGGACGCCTACCTACCGTAGCGGGTGTACTCCCATGGCCACCAACTGTCACATCCCTTAGATATATTATGTAATAGTCTCAGAAATATCTAGTTTGTGTAGTCTATAAATATTACAAAGTGTAACACGTTAAATATGCTACTTACCTTAACCATTATTTATAAATCCTATATATCGGATGGCCCAGAAAAATGAGTACACGAAAATGTATTGTATCTATATCATTCACCTTACAAATGTCGTACAATATGGATGTTGAACTCCAAATTTAAGATCGACCGGTCAAATAGTGCGAA